TTTATAACTGATTTTACTTGTGGTATTTTTACCTTTAATGAATTTGTTTTGTTTGTTCTTTATACCAATGTCATATGATGTAATATTTAACAAATTATATGTTAGTTTTTGAAATGTACTTCCTTTTAATAGTAGTAGGATTCTATAAAAACATACAATGAAATTTTATTTGATACTTGATATCTATATTTTATTTGCATAAAAATGAATTGAGCATATGAAGTTTCTGGAAGAAGTGATTAGTTTATTACTAACCGAATATCAAATTTAGTTTTTATAAGCATATATGTTATTATGTGGAACATAGTTTGCACCATAAAAGATAGGTGCATGCTTTTTGTCAAGGTTGAGAAAATTTATCAATTTAAATTTGTTTCTCGGTCAGCCGGCCCTGAGATTAAACGGACCACAAGCTATAAAGATTATTGTGGGCCGCTGCTAACTGTTAACTAAAAATAAAAATAAAAGAATTAGCAAAATTCAACAAGCAGAGGAATCGAACCATTCACGATGATGACCTTAGCTCCAGTGATTAAACCAGTAGACCAAACAAGAATTCTCAGCTAGATTTGCCGATTTGTTGTTTAGTATAAGAAAAAACAGAAGCAAATGTTTGACTTGCTTACAAGGCCGGCTCTTTCATGACGAGACTCAAGTCGAGTTTCTGGGTTCTCGTCTTCTCAATCACGCTTCTTTCAAAGAACTCCTTTGGATCCGAATCAACTAAGGACTTTTATATGGAGATGAGTGATCTTATTGGGAGTGAGAGTCTTGTGCAAATCGATTCGTAACACCATTGGTGTTTCCCACTACTCTAACAAGCTACTCAAGGTTTCGGAATTCTCATTTCTACAATGTTTCTATTCCTGGAAGTTAAAAGACTAGATTTTGATTATTCTTGTTCGTCGTTGGACAACTGCAGAGCATTAGAGTAAGGCTTGAGGAGACTCTTCCTGGAACTGGAGGTGGAAAAACCCCAAATGATGAATTCATGGTCAAAGTTAGATCATTATGCATTCAGATCAGACATCTTTGTTACAAAGTTAGATCTAATGGAACAGTTGCTTATAGTGGTGTATCAACATTGTCTACCACCGAGTTTTGTTCTTTCTTGTGTTAATATATAAAATTGATTACGTATTCATGTTATTACAACAAGGTTTAGTACGATTTTAGAAATGAAAACATTACATAAAAAGGCCAGTGAAAACGGAACATTTCGGCTTAACCCATAGTCAGGTTCTTGTAGAAATAAATCTCCATCTCTCCAGAGAACCTCTTGGATAACAACCTATATATTGGATAATCGTCGTTGGATAAACTGATAGTCGTTAGATAGTCACCGTCACCGAAAGTTAACTTGTAGTATTGGTCAGTTTGCTCGATGGTGAACGTACTGGCATTGTCTGACGTAGATTCAGATCCGTTGAGGACAACTTCACCTTCTAAAGAGTTTCTCTGAACTACTCTCCAAAACCCGGATTCACCGCACTGAAGAGGATCTACGAACTTAATCTTAAGTTTGGTTGATTCACGTACGACTGTATCTGATGTGTTTGATAATACAAACATAACCGGTGTGGGTGCTGTTATATTTGGATGAGTGACCATTAACGGTTGTTGTGGGCACCATTTCTTTCGGCAGATCCACATGCTGTAATCCGACGTCATGAAGCTGATGTAGTACGGAACGTTGGGCTTAACCTGATCTCCTTCACCATCATAAACCACGTAGTTACCCTCACCTATTGCAACGAGCAAGAAAGAGATCATCATCATCAATCGCAATGTTTTCATCTTTTGTGTTGTTTCTGATTTTCTTGCTTTTGTGTTCTGTTCTTGTGTTGAGTTCCTTTTATAGAGATTATGGGTTGGTTACAATACCCCATTCTTTTTCGTCTTCTTTCTACTCCGATCCACATGTTGAGCTTGCTTCCTAAACATTTCTTTTCTCCTTGCTATCTGGATCAGGTTTACGGGTCGATCTAAGTCAAATCTAGCTACGTACTAGTTAAGAAATGATTATACACACTCCACTCCACGTCTCCACACGAGCTAATAATGTAATAAGTTTCATAAACTTCCAATATATAGTGAAATATTGATCCATGCATATCCCTTATATGACCCTTTGAGTCTTTGAGATGATGATATTAGCTCACGTTCACTCTCAGGAAGAGAATGACAAAAGTGTCATAAATAATTTGACTTATTTACAATGAATTGGCCACATATCCCTTGTATATCATTCAATATCTGTATTATCAGACTTCACTTCAGATGTAAGATATTTTTATATTAATGTAATACATTTAAAGAGACTTCACTTCAGATGTAATACATCTAAATGGTTAATGTACAAACTGGCATTTATAGAGATTAGAAAAATAATGGCTTCAATGCCACTCACAAACACTTCTTTTCCCCTAACAATATGGAGACTACAAGTGGATTTTTGGTCAATGCCACTTACTCATTCAGAAATAAACACGTACGCTTCAGGCGATCGAGCGAGTAATTTGGAGTGGACTTTCTAATTGACCAAAGATTAATAAATCAACAACAATTTAATATACATGTAAAGTATGATTTTCCTTAAGAAGATATCGTCCTAGAATAAATTCTTACGTTTGCTCTACGTAATCTAAGATTATCATGATTTGAGACTTTAAGTGCTAAAGAGCCTTTACACTAATTTTGATCGTTTGTCATTTCTTTTTGTTTCGAAGAGATCAATATACTGCTGTTATGAAAATCGAATCAATCATAGATTTCAATTCTTACAAGTTTAGGAAAGTATGTTGGAGATTAGGATGACCTCAGAGTTTTGTTTTTCTTGTGTTATTATATCATTGTTTTTTTCTAAATGATTTTGGTCATATAAAGTTTGTTCCTTCATCACGTAGTTGTAACCCATATCATGTTTTACAACAAGTTTTTTGATATACAAGATTCGATTAACCTTTATATTAGTAATATATTGGAAAAGAAAAAGAAAACCAAGTTATTAAATTAAATAAGCGTGAGACTAAAACATGAATACGCAATAGATGAACCAACTTATGATCTCCGAGTTTAGTTTATTTGATCCTTTATTGCGTATTCATGTTATTACAACAAGTTTTGTTTGATTTTAAAAATGAAAACATTACATAAAAAGGCAAGTGAAAACAGAACATTAGCCTTCACCCGTAGTCAGGTTCTTGTAGAAATAAATCTCCATCTCTCCAGATAACCGCTTTGATAACAACCTATATATCGGATAGTCGTTGGTCATACTGATAGTCGTTGGATAGTCACCGTCACCGAAAGTGAACTTGTAGTATTCGTTAGTTTTATGGATGGCGAACGTACTATCATTGTTTGACTTAGATTTAGATCCGTTGAGGACTACTTCACCTTCTAAAGAGTTTCTCTGAACTACTCTCCAAAACCCGGATTTACCGCACTGACGGGGACCTACGAACTTAATCTTAAGTTTGGCTGATTCACGTACGACATCTGATTTGGATGCTAATACAAACATAACTGGTGTGGGTGCTGCCATATCTGGATGAGTGACCATTAACGGTTGTTGTGGGCATGAGTTGGGATCAGTAGATCCATATTGCCTTCGGCAGATCCACATGTTGTAATCCGACGTCATGAAGCTGATGTAATACGGAACGTTGGGCTTAACCGGATCTCCTTCGCCATCATAAACCACGTCGTTACCCTCACCAACGACACCGGATGTTGTTGTTATTGCAACTAGCAAGAAAGAGATCATCATCAATCGGAATGTTTTCATCTTTTTGTGTTGTTTCTGATTTTCTTGCTTTTGTGTTCTTGCGTTGAGTTCCTTTTATAGTGAATATGGAAATAGTGGGTTGGTTACAATACCCATATTCTTTTTCGTCTGCTTTCTATACTCCACATGCATGAATTTTTTTTTTTTTTTTTTTCACATGCATGAATTAACTTGCTTCTTAAAGCTTCTAAACACTTTCTTTATTTTTTCCTTACTATCTGGATCTGGTTTACGGGGTGGATCTAAGTCAAAGCTACAATACTTGTTTAGAAATGATTAAACACACGCTCCACACGAGCTTATAGTGTTTAAGTTTCATAAAGTTCCAATATAACGTGAATTGATCCATGCATATCCCTTATACATACATATATTACCATTTGAGATGATGTTATTAGCTCATTCCGACATATCCGTTGTATGTATATCATTCAATATCTCTTATCTCACTTCACTTCCGATGTAAGAAAATAACGGCTTCAATGCCACTCACAAACACTTCTTTTCCCCTAAAAATATGGAGATTACATGTGGATTTTTGGTCAATGCCACTTACTAATTGAGAAGTAAACACGCTTCAGGCGATCGAGCGAGTAAATTGGAGTGGACTTTCTAATCGACCAAAGATTAATAAATCGAAAACATTATAAAATACTCCCTCCGTTTTCGAATAGTTGTCGTTTTAGAGCTTTTTTTGTTTTAAATTAGTTGCCGTTTTAAGGTAATAATGTAATTTATGCCAATAACTACCCAAATTACCCTCATTTTATTGAACACAAATTATTTGTAAATAATTATTTGTCATTTTATGAGGTTAATATAGTCATTGTATACCTTTTCTTAATTTGTCAAAATATAGTTAAAACGACAATTTTTAAAAAATAGAGGGAGTATATGTTAAATGTAATTTTCCTTTGGAAGATATCCACGAATAAATTCTTACGTTTGCTCTACGTAATCATCTAAGATTATCATGATTTGAGACTTTGAGTGTTAAGGAGCCTACACACACTACTTTTGATCGATTGTCAAATCGAATCAATTATCATAGATTTCAATTCTTACAAGTTTAGGAAAGTAACAAAAAAAGTCTAGTATACATGTTTTTTGCCCCTTTGTTACCATGTCGTCTTCGATTATGTTTTAACTAGCATTATGGCCCCTGCTATGCAGGGACAACATTGTTTTAAATTATATTTTGCTACAACTCTTAACTAAGACTTTTAAAATAATTATGACAGCATAAATATACAACAACTTGTTTGTCAATGACCGAAGAATATACAATAGGTTAAGAAAAAAATATAAGAAAATGTACAACTTATCTGCCTAATAGCGAATCAATCAATTGCAATACAGTAATAACTAATACTTAGAGAGCTTAGAAATATAAGAGAAGTATAAGTACAATAATTAGGCTGGGGTATATACATTTCCTCTTGTACTTACTCTCATTCTCCTGCTTTGATTCTTTTCTAATACATATTTTTTTGGCAGCCTGCACACATTTGTTGGCGATATCCGGTTATTCATTAGCTCCAACCAATAATAATGTGTTCCTCTTCTCATCATCAGTAATTCAGTTTGCAAACATTCCTTTACATCCAAAGCTTGAAAGTCTGAAAGCAAAATGTAAAATCTTCACAGGTAAATACATGACGCTGCCTTTAAAAAAGTCAAAATGGAATGAAACAAAAGGAAGAAAACAAATTCACATATGAACATAGTAAAATTTTGATATCAATGATGTCACTTACCTAACAATACATACATTACATACATACATATAAGAGAAAAGATCAAGACAATCTCAAACATTTACATGTCAAAAGGTAATGATCATAGATGAACACAAAAAAATGCAATCTAGTCCTCTTGTCAAACAGACCAATTAAACCATTGCGTCATTGAATGCAAGTTTCTAAGTTTGTTTAGCATACAAAATAATTGTGAAGTGCATTTAGCCTTTAAAGTAAATGAATTTCCCAATTTTAATTCAATCTGTATATTAAAGACATTACGTTTTCTCTATAAATATAATGACTTATGCATCAAACATAATTTGCTCAAAAAAAAAAATGCATCAAACATAAATGTAATATACTTGACAATAAATACACATGGAGAAAGAGGATGCTGAATAGAAACTCACAAAGAACTTATCAACAAATGGCCGTCCCATGCTTGGCTGTTATGTTCTCCCACATAAGTTTCAAAAGAAACCAAACTGATAAAAAAAAAAGAGAAACCAAGCGAGTGAGATATTGCTACATAAAACTTTGTTTTTTTTGCAGAATGGGCTATACAAAAACGAAATTGCATATATAAAGAAGTAAATAAGAGATAAAAGAAGAATTGTAAAAAGCCTGAGAAATAATTTTCCAAAAAAAAAAGAACTTGAGATTTGATTAAGATATAAAACTCACATGGGTTTTAAGGCTACGTGTTGAGAAGCCAAAATTCGTTGGTGCTCCTCGAGTATTTGTGAGACAGGAGAAGCATAGGCATTGATTGATTACATAAAAATCCTATGGAAAAAGATTTATAAGAGAAATTGAATCCACTCAGATAAAACAGAAACAGAGCAAGAAAAAATAAAACCATGGAATATAGAGGAACATATAGAGGAACGGTATATGATTTCAGATCTATGGAGAGATTTTGGAGGAGAAGAAGTGGAAGAGGTGGAGATCGTGGCCTATGAAAGAGAAAAGGGTTTTGAAAAAATAAAAAGGCAGATAAAAACGAGAAAGTATTTTTTTTTAATTTAATTTAATTTTATTGTAAACAAAATCTCTGTGAGAAAAAAAGAGTTAAAGAAAATCGTACTAAGCTGATGTGTCAATCAAAGAGTGCATCAGTTTTTGATAAAGTGACTGTTGATTTAGTATAATTAGATTTATTGTAAACAAAATCTCTCCGTGAGAAAAAAAGAGTTAAGAAAATCGTACTAAACTGATGTGTCAATCAGAGAGTGCATCAGTTTTTGATAAAGTAACTGTTGATTTAGTATAATTAGAAATTAGATTCGGATGGTTTGGTAATTTGGTGCTAACAAGAAATTTAGGTTCCGGTTTGGTTTAGGCTTTGATTTTGGTTAAAATAAAAACATTGGTTCTATAGTTGAGGTTCGGTTTGGTTTAATTTGGTTTAACTCTCTATCACCACTGTTCTTTTAGCAAGGAGCGATTAAAGCGAAGAACAGAGTTTGTGGAGGGGAAAGCATTGATTTTTCTTTTCGTTCTCCAATTATGTTTCTTCTGAATTGAGTTAATGTAGACGGTAATAATCATCAGTTTGTGTATGGCGAATCTGCTGTATCTTCAGCTTTCTTCTTGCGTAGTCAGAGGCAGACACTGTTCCATAAACTGCGATTTTGATCTCTGCCCAAGTATCGTGAGCCGCAGTTCCTTTAAGTGCCGCGCCTCCCGTGGCCCTAGCTGGGAGGAGGAGCTCTTCCGAGACGAAGGTTTTGCTCGATTTGAGTTCGGAAACCGTAAAAAGAAAAGGCCTTGGTGGTTCGATGATGATGACGATGACGATTATGATGATTGGACAGATGAAGAAGAAGACTGGAGTTCAGTTTTTGAGGTATTACTTCTTCTTTTGGGAATTTCACGAAATGTAATGTTTATCTCACTTCAAAGTTGCTCCCTTTAGCCTTTAGTATTCACAATGGTTTCTGTTTAGCCAAATTTGGGATTTTTGTTCTAATTGCAGGTATTTAGGACTTTGAGTTGGATGCTTGCACCTATCGGTATATCTTTGCTTCTCGGAACAGATTCAAACGCGGGTTTAATGGCATTAGCTGTTCCTTTAGTTCAATCTGTGTTGTCCCTTGTGGTTAGTAAGGTCTGGAGCAGGCCAAGCTTTAGACCTATGGAAAGAAGCAGAAGAGATTCATTTTCGAGATCTGCGAATGTAAGTAGTGCAAGAACAAGGAAAGCTAGGCAAGGAGAAAACATGAGGGGTGGTGTGGATAAGGGAGGATACAAGTCATGGATGGTAGCAGATGCTGATTCTAACAGCATGGGTACTGGCTATGGAGGATGGGATGATCTAGATACGCTAAGGGAGATTAGAAATGACAATCCTTCAAACGAGAATGTTCGTCAAAAACAACAGTCTGTAAAAAGAGCTAGTCGGCGGTGGAGAGTTAAGGAGAAGCCATTGCTCTTGAGGATGCTAATTGCTGCCTTCCCTTTTTTGGGTTCATGGACCAAATTGTTGTTTTGATAAGGGATTTATCTAAGCCCTTTATAGCTCAGAGAATTACTGTTTTCACGCGGTTTGAAAAAGAACAAGACTTTCTCTCGCGATTGCTCATCAAATGTATTCAATCTTCCTGGAATCATAAAGGTTAGCTTTCAGTTATCTTGGAACTTAGATGTTAGAATGAATACACCTCTTACTTGTGATAACTATGCATATTCTGTAAGTTGAGAATATATGCCTGTCAGAGATATGTGTTTCTATAAATACAAAGGTGTAATAGTTCTTCTTTTGTACAGCCTAAGTAGTATCTTCAATTTTTATATAAACAGAACCAATAATTGGTGATGGCGTACCAGATGCTGCTGCTACTCTTCTTTAGTATGTGAGATTTAAGATTACATACTCTTCTACTTTATCTAGTCAGGGAGCAATACTGCTAGAATATATGCTTTCACATTTATTTGGTTCACATTATATTAAAACATTCCAAGGCTTCTTTATATGTTCTTCTTAGTAATAGATTACCAATAGCCTCATGATAAGATTCTTTGATAGAAACTTTTATAAGAATAAAGAACAATATCAGTTTATTGGGAATCCTTCAGTTAGCAAGTTCCTTTAGTACGAAACAGAAATTCACATCTATTATGAGAAAATATACAGTAAACAGTTAACCCACGCTATATATTTCACCAACCTTCATTGAATATGCAGATTGTAGTCGAAAGTAAGTTTCAAACTATGTTTCAGAAGCTTAGGATCACATTTACTTCTATGATCAGCAACCCCTTACCTTAGTCTATATACACTAGGTAGATTTGATTTACTGTTGTCTGGATAAACAAATAAGTATTGGCATATGCAAATTGCTTTTTCTATGACAAACAAAGAAGTTACATCTGAAAACATAATCTAGGAAGGGCTTTGTACGTATTCTAAAGCATTATCTTTTTGGTTTCTCTTTCATAACCTAGTGTCTGAATATAGAGTCTTCTTTGCTTCATGATGATAAAGACTAACCCAAAAGTAGATTGTAATTAGGAAATATTATGGAGAAGTAGGAGGATCGAACTTGTAGTGTTTGTCGATGAAAAGTGATACATCCCAAGTGCAGCTAAGTCCCTTGGGGATGGTCACAAGGTCTCCTGCACCAAACTCTACAAACTCAGATGACCCTTTTAGATACACCTTCACCTTTCCCTTCACTAGATAGCATGTTTCTCTTTCTTCAAATACCAATGCATATTTCCCCGGCTGACAAGACCATCTATTTGTCAAAGAGATTCATCATGTTATTACCAATAATATGACGAATGGAAAGTCTATGTGGTTAGTAGTAATAGATGCAGAGCAGGTGCATGTTTGATACTTACTTAGGCCATGACATGACTCCAAGGTCGGATAACCTTCTGCTTGAAGGGTTGTTTTCGATTACAATATTCATTTTGGAAGAGGAATAAGGGGAGAATTTGACGATGTTTCAATGCTATTAGATAGAACAGAAAGAAACAGTGAGCAAGAAAGATAAGAAGAAAGTAGGTATTTGAGATGTATTTATATGGTGAAGGACAGAGTAGTTGGTCTGCATGTGTATGATATATATAAAAACAGGTATGGATAAAGTGACTTCTTCTTTTTTCCCTTCTGTTGAAAGGATAATAGGAAAGAGGAGGAATCTTTTAAAGAAACACTTTGACCCAGGATAGATACAAAACCAAGTCAATAGATACATTCATTAACCTGCATGTTTTAGATAGTCCTTCTAGAAGTGGTTAGTATTACAAATTCTCTAGTTTTCTACTTTTCTTGATTTCATTAATCTGATTAAGAAAGTTTCTCCTCTAGAAGGCAAAATGCTGATTTAGTCTCTCAACAAGCTTTAATGATAAATCCAGATCAAGTCTCCAACCACATGGACCCCTTCTGGTTTGTCCTTGCGCCCATTATGCTTTCCTTTTCACAGTATTTACTAGTAACGGAGTCTTCTGAGCTGAAACTCAGACTAGTCTCCGGACAATGTAGCCAGATCAAGTGGGGACGCTCGAGAGGATAAAATAGGATCTAACTTTTTCAGCTGTTATATGCACTATTAATCTAGATTTCGGTAGCTTGAGATCAGTTATTACAAGTTATAGATCAGTTATTCAGCTGCTGTGATTGCACTACTAATCTGGTATCTGGATTTGTGTAGTTTTGAGATGAGTTACACAATAAGTAATAGATGTTTTTTTCAGTATATCTATTATATGGTTATGGTTTTTAGTTTCGAGAATGTTTGACTGATTCTTCAGTAGAAGATACGTGATAATTCCGGACATTGATTTGTGTAGCCCACCTCAAGTTTGGCTGCTTCCTCAACTGGCTCTGCTTGTTTTTTTAGTCTAACATGTCATGGCATTGGAGGATTAGTACTTTATAGTATATGTATCTCCTAATATATGCATGCATAAATTCACATATCCTCAAATTTGAATGTTAGTATATTTGCAAATTTCTGTCTCTGTAGTATGAACAAGTGATAAATAATGGCAGATAGGTTCAGAATGAAAACAAAATCTCCATGTGAACACCCTTATGAAGTTGGGAACAGGGTCTTGCTTTGATTTGGTATCTGGTCATATTTTCACACATCGAAAACCTTTGTTTTTTGTTTCTTGTTACTTGTTGTCTCTTTTACTCTCAGATCTCCAGGAAAGTTTGTACACAAAAGCTTTTCATCGTTGACAGTTCCTATAATTAGCATTTAGCATCGCCTGGCCTCCTTCCTGTTCTTTCTTAACCCTTGCGATCTTCTTTACTGGGCTTTATTGGGCCGTTAGAAATATATAGGACTGTCGGCCCATAAATCTTGACTAAAGTTAAGCCCATTCCGCTTAGCAGTTTTATTAAATTTTTTTGTATCCCATCTCTCGCAAGATGAGAGAGAGTGAACGAGTGTTTGACAAATGTTTTGATTATCCTATATATAAATTTAGTTCCAGTTAAGTGTAACCTAAATATATGAATATGAAAGGCTAATTAAAGCAAAATATATTAAAAAAACAAAAAAGAAATTGAGATTTTATTGGAAGTAAAAATAATACGTGTTCAAACTATTTCACCCAAAATATGATTTTGTTGACAAATATGAAAGAAAAAAAAAAGAGCTCTTTATGGTAAGAAAATAGGAAAAAGTGGAATAAAATATTGAGATTGTGTGGAAAATAAATAATAGCATTTGTGTGTTCAATTCCAAAATTTAGAGTACTAAAAATAGGGCTTACTCAAGATCGGGAAAATTGCAAACCATATTGTTTTCTTCAATAGACTTTATACCAAGGAAAAAAAGAAGATACAGTAATGGGTTTCACAAAAAAATTAGTGATCTTTTATCTTCTAGTTATATTGGTGGCTGTTTCGTTGTCCACCCAAATTGCTATGGCAGCAGGTATGTTTTCTTATATAATATTTATTGCAATTAGTTAGCTTTGAATTCATATGAACTATTGAAACGCCAATACACAAACGTGAAACCTTTTATGAAATTATAAAGATTTTTTTGTTACAGTTATTAAAGAATATGAAAATATTGAAAATGTAATTTGGCATGCGTAAATATATACGTGCAGAGATCAAAGCAACGAACGGCCTACAATGCAATAATCCATGTACGAAAAAATATCCAGAGTATGCGTGCAACGTGGACTGTATAACATCGGGGTATGCGACAGGGCATTGTATTTCTGTGCATCCTCCAGAACCACAGTATTGTTGTTGTTACTAATTAAAATTTGATGATCCGTTAATTTCCTTATGTTCTTCCTATATATAATTAGTTAATTATGAGGAGCAAGTAGTTTCTCTTATAATAATAAAAAAAATGCCATGATTTGAAAAAAAAAAAACATACTTTCATCATAAGACAAATAAAAAGTCTTCTTAATCCTAAACCACAATCCCGATTTGATTATTATTGGCGTCCGCGTTTATATGTGCTTATTACGTATTAGTCGATATCGGTTATAATTTATATGTGCTTGTTACTTATTGGTCAATATCATAAATAAAGTTACAGATTTGGAAGCTTGGCTTCTAAGCCAAATGTTAATAACTAATTAACTATATATCCTTATGTCCGAAAATCTAGGGACATAAGGCATTATACCCCGGTCCGCCGTAATAAAAATGTGCCCCCCACTCCTCGTTGAATCCTTTTTGGACATTGTAACATGTTGAGTTTAGCATCTGCAACAAAAATTCTTGGACCGGTTGCAGGTGGTAGAGGTAGTTGATGATCCTAAGATTGCGAAAAAAACTAGCCTTTCCAAAACCTTCTTCTGCGAAATGCCCCGAACCCATCTGTGTTGTCGTATGCTGGCCGTAGCTGCGTGTGTTCACAATTTCGCCACCCCACTGTACCAACTTCGCTGGCCAATAGCCGATGAATGATTGGCCGATGCCCAGCCACCAGTTTCCACCATCCATATCCTATATTTCACAGAAGAAATAATAAGCAAGAGACGACCAACTAAATTGTTCGAATCCAAATCGGTTTACACAACACAAATTGTACTAACTAAGCCGAGTGAAGCATATTTCATTTTGTAACAATCATTAAATCGTTTGCAAATGATTCTACGTGATTTTAGTTGCTCGGTTTTATATACTATTAATTAACCCACTAAATCGTAATTAGTAAAGCAGTTTTAATCATACCTTAAATATGGACATTTTAACGTCAAACTGGTTGCCGCCGTAAGATGAGATCGGAGAAAAAGCACCACCGATTGTAAAGTCACTGGTGACTTGTACAAACCCTGGACACTCAAGGTTTAGACAACCTGTCTTCTCGTATGTGTCATTCTACAAAATTGTCATAATTATCATCACATGAGTGATTACTAATTAGAAATCACATGCCATATAGTCCTTAATGTATAATAGTGTTTACCGTATGGCTTATATATATCACAAAAACTTGAAGATTTAGTGTACGAAAGTATATATATGTCTCTATTTTAATAAAAGATTAGTTCGTTGTTCATTTGTTAAAAGATCGAACATAAAGTCGTGTAGTGACGATGTAAATAAAATAAAATAAAATAAATCGTGTGAGACACACAATTATAATATTATTAGTTCAGATTCATCATCCTTTTTCCAGATAAGAATTAAATGATAACACTACAAATGTAACTCTATCCTCTTTACTCAAGGAATTAAATTGGAATCTAAAAAACTAGACCACACCGTCCAATATATGAAAAGCCGTGGCTGGTTGTCATGGTAATGATCCGGAAAAACCTAAACAATAGAAAAATCAAATTAGTTTTACTCTTTCATTAATCATTGTAATAAAAATAAATAATTGTGATGATACTGAAAAGAAAAATAAATTAAAAGCCAGACCTGCCACCCAGCCTCAATAGTATATTGAGATTAGATCCGTTGTACTCTCCCGGGACTAGCCAAATCTGCGACAAACTAAATTCGCTTGTTCCTTCTTCTACAGTTGGATCCCACAAGTTCATAGTCGTGACTGTTCCATATATTCCTCGCAGATATCCCGTTTCTCCAATCGCATACTATATAATATTTAACAAATGAAATCAAAATAAAGTCAAAACTCTAACATAAAAGCAAATAACAACATGTGTAAAACTATTGTTATATTTATTAAAAAGTTAATTACCTCGTGTCCTTCCTCGGCAGGGTATGGATGGAACGTTCAGTGTTTTTTATTAACTTGGTTAGCCCCGACTGTGCTACGTCTTATAGGTACGGTTTGGTCGGGGCAACTTGCGCCGTTTCGGTTCCACACCTGCGACACTCTTTTTTCGTCCATTTTATTGATCTTATTGGGTAATAATCCTTTGGGTGCAGTCTGAATTAGGAAAAAAAAAACAAACAAAATTAGAGAAAAATTTTGTGAAAAAAAAAAAAGAAACTAATCGTACGATAGAAGAGGGATAGGAAACAAACGTACCTGGATTTTGTGATTCCGAAGAAGAGGATGTTTAAAAGCAGGTTGCTCTCTCATATGAATGCAATCAATAATGTCCCCATCCGGACTCTGTTTATTTATCATTAAAAAAAACAAACTATCAATATAGGTAATAAACAAGTCACATTCAGAAATTGTAGGATTTTAAGAACAAAAGGCCTATTGATTTTTTTTTTTTTTTTTAGCAAAGATATGAATAGCCTATGGCAATGACTATGAGATAAGATTAAAACATGGGAAAACCGATGACAATGAGGTCCGTACTAGTGATTTTATTTCTAGTGTCCAACTTTAGAAAATAGTAACAGATCTTTGAACATGTCAGATTTTTTTAGTTTCTCACTTTATAATTTCGGCTTTACCAACAAAACAAATGTCCAATGGTATACATATTTATCAAAATCAAGAGCGGAATGGAGATTCCTTGAGTAAGGAGAAGGTGGACAAGTACAATGAGAAGCAAGAACATCATTTTTTTTAGTTGAAGATGTTGTTGTTTTAAATGTAGGAGGAGATATCAAAGAGAGTAAAAAGGATAAGAAAGAAGAGAGTGAGAAGAACGAGTACAAGAGGGAAAAGATGATACAACATGATATTTATACTGGC